ATATCTCACCACCGTGGAAGTTTACTTACGGGGTTTTACCACGAAATATTGGGTGGGTTTTCTCTCTCTCTCTAGATCTCTCATCTTTTTCTCTTGAAAGTTCTTGTGTTCTTCATTCATCTAATGTGTGAGCGTGAATTCGATCCTAACAACTGGTATCAGAGCTAAGGAGATTCAACACGATCACTGAAGATGGATAGTTCAAAGCTTGGAATCGAGAAGTTTGATGGATCCGATTTCAGTTTCTGGAAGATGCAGATCGAAGATTATCTGTACCAGAAAGATCTTCACGAACTATTGATCGGGATGAAGCCGAAATCCATGACGGAGGAGAAGTGGAAACTCAATGATCGCCAGGCTCTAGGGTTGATCCGGTTGACTTTGTTAAGAAACTTGGCGTTCAACATCGTGAAGGAGAAGACTACGTCCGGTCTGTTGAAGGCACTATCAAATATGTATGAAAAACCATCGGCTATGAATAAGGTATATTTGATGCGTAGATTGTTCAATTTAGAAGTGTCTGAAACTGGATCCGTTTCTAATCATATAAACGAGTTCAATATGATTGTGAGTCAACTCAATTCTGTGGATATTAATTTCGAAGATGAAATTAAGGCGTTGATTTTGATGTCATCTCTGCCCGAGTCTTCGGATACTGTTGTTGCTGCGATTAGCAGTTCCCGTGGATCTGAGAAACTGAAGTTTGATGAAATCCGTGATGTTGTTCTTAGCGAAAGTATTCGCAAACGAGAAGTGGGAGATTCATCGGGCAGTGCTCTCAGCGTTGATCGAAGGGGGAGAAGTAAGACGAAAGGCCAAAATTAACATGGTCGATCAAAATCAAAGAATCGAGGAAAATCACTGAACAGATCAAACGTGACTTGTTGGAACTGTGGAGAAAAAGGGCACTTTCGGACGAACTGTACAAAGCCAAAGAAAAAAAAGAATCAGAAAATTGGAGATGACAATGATTCTGTAAATTCAGCAGAGGACATTGGGGATGCTCTAATCCTTAGTGTGAACAACCCGGTTGAATTATGGATTTTGGATTCTGGTGCATCTTTCCATTCGTCTCCAAGCAAGGAGTTGTTCCAAAACTTCAAATCTGGAAATTTTGGAAAAGTATATCTTGCTGACAATAAAGATTTAGAGATTGAAGGAAAGGGGGATGTTTGCATAAAGACCACCTCGGGAAACCAGTGGACATTGGAGGATGTCAGATATATTCCTGGGATCAAGAAAAATCTGATCTCTGTTGGTCAGTTGGATAGCACGGGATATGCAGCAGAGTTTGGGAAAGGTTCGTGGAAGATCATGAAAGGTGCTATGGTAGTAGCTCGTGGCACCAAATCTGTAACCTTGTACACCACTGCAGGGTGTATAAACATGGCCGCTGTTGCTGAAGGTTCATCCGGTTCATGTCTGTGGCACAACAGACTTAGACACATGAGTACTGAAGGAATGAAGATGCTGGTTGCAAAAGGAGCATTAGAGGGTCTGAAGTCTGTTGATATGGGTCTTTGCTAGAGCTGTGTTATGGGCAAATAGAAAAGAGTAAGCTTCACAAAGACTCCTAGAGAGCCAAAGAAAGTGCAGTTGGAAATAGTCCATACAGATGTTTGGGGACCATCTCCAGTATCATCACTTGGAGGATCTAGATTCTATGTTACCTTCATTGATGATTTCAGCAGGAAGGTATGGGTTTACTTCTTGAAGCATAAGTCAGATGTGTTTGAAACTTTCAAGAAGTGGAAAGCTAAAGTTGAGAATCAGACCGGTTTGAAAGTCAAATGCCTAAGGTCTGACAATGGAGGAGAGTATGACAAATCAGAGTTCAAGGCATTCTGTGCAGCTGAGGGAATCAGATTGATGAGAACAGTTTTCGGTAAGGCAAGGCAGAATGGAATTGCTGAGAGGATGAACAGAACATTGAATGAACGTGCAAGGAGTATGAGGATACACTGTGGGCTGCCCAAAACACTTTGGGCAGATGCTGTGAGCACAGCTGCATACTTGATCAACAGGGGACCATCAGTTCCTTTAGGGTTCAAGATTCCAGAGGAGGTGTGGACAGAAAAAGAACTCAAGTACTCACACTGGAGGACTTTTGGTTCCACTGCTTATGTTCATGTTGATCCAGAAAAGAGAGACAAGCTTGATGCCAAGGCTGTGAAGTGTTACTTCATAGGATATGGTTCTGATTTGTTTGGTTACAGGTTTTGGGATGACAAGAATAGAAAGATCCTGAGACATTATGACGTGACATTTGATGAGTCTGTCCTGTACAAGGACAGAGAGCACAAGGTTCTAGAGATTACAAAGCAAGTGGGAGTTGAGGTTGAGTTGGAGAAGAGTAACCCCAGATATGTCGAAGCAGATACTCAACCAACTCCTACTAAAGAATCTGAAGTGGAGCAAGTTTCACCTGAGCAGGTGTTAAGGAGATCATCCAGATCCACCAGGGCACCAGATAGATATTCACCTTCATTACACTATCTATTGCTTACTGATGAGGGGGAACCAGAGTCTTTTGATGAGGCCTTACAGGTGGAGGATTCGATCAAGTGGGAGCAAGCCATGTATGATGAGATGAGGTAACTTGAGAAGAATGACACATGGGTGTTGACTGAGTTACCTGCAGGGAAGAGAGCTTTGCTGAACAAGTGGGTGTTCAGAATCAAGACTGAACCAGAAGGCAAAAGAAGGTTCAAGGCTCGTTTAGTGGTTAAAGGATATTCACAAAGGAAAGGTATTGATTATGCATAAATATTCTCTCCTATTGTGAAGTTAACCTCCATTCGAATTCTGTTGAGTATTGTTGCATCAGAAAATTTGCATCTAGAGCAAATGGATGTAAAAATAGCATTTTTACATGGAGATCTGGACAAAGAGATCTATATGCAGCAACCGGAAGGATTTGTGGTTCCAGGCAAGGAACACATGGTGTGCAAGCTCACCAGAAGCTTGTATGTACTAAAGCAAGCACCAAGGCAGTGGTACAAGAAGTTTGACTCCTTCATGACCAAGAGTGGATTCTGCAAAGCTGAAAAGGATCCTTGTTGTTACTTCAAGAAATACACTGATTCATATGTCTTTCTACTCTTGTATGTGGATGATATGTTGATTGCAGGATCTAGTATGAGAGAGATTAACAATCTGAAGACAAGGTTGTCTGCAGTGTTTGAGATGAAAGATTTGGGTCCAACAAAGCAGATTTTGGGGATGAAGATTTCTCGGGATAGACCTGCTGGCACTTTAAATCTATCTCAGGAGTTGTACATTGAGAAGGTGCTGAGCAGATTAAGGTTAATGATGCTAAACCAAGGACTACTCCATTGGCAAATCACTTTAAATTGTTAAAGGAGCAGTCACCCAAGACTGCCGAGGAGCGTGATCACCTGACACTTTTTCCATATGCTTCAACAGTTGGTAGTTTGATGTATGCTATGGTTTGCACTAGACCTGATATAGCACATGCAGTGGGAGTAGTTAGCAGGTACATGGCGAACCTTGGGAAAGAGCATTGGGAAGCTGTGAAGTGGCTTCTGAGATATCTGAGAGGTACATCCAGTACTTCACTTTGTTTTGGCAAAGGCAAGGTGACTCTACAAGGTTTTGTGGATGCTGATCTTGGTGGGGATGTTGACTCGAGCAAGAGTATATCCGGGTACATTTACACCATAGGTGGACCAGTAGTGAGTTGGATGTCCAGGCTTCAAAAGTGTGTTTCTCTTTCATCTACTGAAGCTGAGTATGTGGCAATAGCTGAAGCTGGGAAAGAGATGATATGGCTGGTAGATTATCTTGAAGAATTGGGCAAGAAGCAAAGAGAAAATATTCTTTACTCAGATAGGCCAGAGTGCCATACAGTTGGTGAAAAATCCAGTCTATCATTCGAAGACAAAGCACATCAGAAGGCGATACCATTTCACTCGCAGGGCAGTGGAGGATGGTGATATGTGCTTGGAGAAGATAGAGGGTGCAAAGAACCCGACAGACATGTTGACAAAATGTGTTGATGTTGGGAAACTGAGGTTATGTAAAACCTCGGTTGGTCTTCTGTAGTTGTTGCTACAGATGTTGCGGTGCGGTAAAGATGTTGATGATGAAGAGATTTTTTTGAGAATGTATTTTTTGGATGACTGAGTCAGTCTCCAAGTGGGAGAATTGTTAGGTAGTGGAGCCTGATTAATTTTAGGTTTTCCTATTTATTCTCTATTTTAGGCTTTCCTATTTATTCTCTGGTAACCAAAAATACTCTGATTTATTAATATAAATATACCTCACCGCCGTGGAAGTTTACTTACGGGGTTTTACCACAAAATATTGGGTTTTCTCTTTCTCTCTCTAGATCTCTCATCTCTTTCTCTTGAAAGTTCTTGTGTTCTTCATTCATCTAGTGTGTGTGCGTGAATTCGATCCTAACATAAAAATCTTCTTTTGCAGAAATATATTTGCAAAATGGAATCCATCCATTAAATTACTGCACATACTCACCTCAATCTAATGAAATTGTTGTTTGAAGAAAAAAAATTGAACTTTGAAGGAAATGTCCTATTAATAAGTTCAGGTTTGCCAAACAATTTGTGGGGGATGCTATCATTATAGCAAAAGAGAACAAGAAAAATTTTGTCGATAAAGAGAATACCAAATAAAAAAAATTATTTGTTAAGAAAGGAGCAACAAAAAAGTTGTGTTTGTTCAGGCTTTATTTATCTTAATAGAGAATTGTTTGTTGCTCCTTAAATTATATACAATCAATAACACCTTTGAAAGGTATATCTAACAATTTCCAATGCAATCTATTTCATATGAGAAATGGGAATGAGGGAACTATTTCCAAACTGGTCAAAATAGGACCTATGATTGTGGATTGTATGTTCATTGGATATGCTACAATGAGTAAAGTATGTATATTTATGGTTCATAAGTCTGAACCGTCAGATGATCAAGTAAAGGGTCTAAACAATCTTAGAAAGAACCAAAGGAGAATGTACATGTTAAAGAGATTCAAAGGCGTATTAAATGTCAATGGACAAATTACTTCCTCTAGATTTGATTTTGTAACATTTCTACTTGAAAATGAGTTCATATTGTCAAAAAAGAATTGTCATGTATAGACTCATTCTTTTTGGAAAGAGGTTTTCAATAGTAGGATAGATTCAATTTTGAGCAACCACACTTCAGAGTTGGTTGATCTTCCTCCAAGAAATAAACATTTGGGTTCAAAGTGAATCTACAAAAGAAAAAGAAAGTTGATGTTACGTTAAGTATTGACAAATACAAAGCAAAACTTGTTGTCACATGCTTTAGACAATCAAATAGCCTTGATTATTTTGATAAAAAAAATGCCACTAACTAGGATTACATCAATTTAGATGTTAGTTACGCTAGTTGCAGTATATGACCTTCAAAATCGTCAAAATGGATATGAGAACATTTTTTTAAAAAATGAAAAATTGGAGAAAGAAATTTACATGGAACAACTTGAGGAATTTGTAGTTCATGGTAAAGAAAAGAAAGTATGTAAACTTGTTAAGTCACTTTGTGGACTAAAAACATGAGCCCGAATAAGTACATGTGAATATTGACCAAACTATGTTGGTAAAAGAATTCAAGATGAATGAATGTGATTAATGTTTTTACATTAAATACACTCCAAATCACAAGGTCATTATTTATTTTTATGTTGATCACATGTTGATCATAAAAAGAGACATTATGGATATAAATGTTACTAAGCATATGCTAGAAAGTAAATCCGATATGAAAAATATTGAAGTTACTGACGTGATTAAAAAACTACTTGGCAAATTCAAGTATTTGAATTTCAATATTGTCAAGACTCCTAAATGTGAGCTTTGTACTTCAAAAGAATGAAGTCAAAGGTGACTCATAATTGAATTATGCTAGATTATTAATAAGTATGATATATATATCATGAAGTGTGTACACGATCAGATATACGTAGCGCTATTAGTAAACTGAGTCAATTCACAAGTAATCTCAATCAAACTCATTGGATGACAATAAAAAGAGTTTTAAGTATTTAAAACATACTTAATACTATTGTTTTGCATTATAACTAATATTTAACAATATTAGAAGAATTTGATGATACAAAGTAAATCACCTGGTCAAATGAAATAAAATTCACGAGCGGGTATGTGTTTACTCTTGGTGGAGAAGTAAGCTCTTGGAAAATTTTTAAAACAGAAATGTGTGGCTCGTGTACTATGAGTTTATCACTCTACATACCGGGAAAGAAGTTGAATGACTTCGAAATTTTTGGCACAAACCTTTAGTTCCAGTATGCATACAATGTGGTGTAAATTTGCAATAGGTAGGGCATGGAAGATGAAAGTAGGGGTGGAATATGAAGAAATATTTTAAATGAAATCAAAGTAAGACAAATAGTAAGAGAGAGAAATTTTAAAAAATTAAAATGAAACAAAAAATTTTATTTCAAATTAAATTAACACGTTTCACACAATGATTGGTGTGTGATAACACTTGTCATTTAAAATTTGGAATTTATTGGAAAATGATGTAATAAGATATGTTTGTAATTGTTTAGGGGGGGGGGGGGGGTAACAGGACGCTTGCATAGTTAAGGTGTTTTTTTTAAAAAATCGAAATAACTTTTGGTGTCACTTTATGTATTTTCTCTATAATGTATTTAATTCAAAATGTATTATAACTATTGTTTATTTTGGAAAAATGCACAAGTACCCCTTCAACCTATGTCCGAAATCTCAGAGACACACTTATACTATACTAAGGTCCTATTACTCTCTGAGCTTATTTTATAAGTCATTTTCTATCCCTTTTTGGCCTACGTTGCACTAGCTTGGAAAAAAAATCTAACTGCATTGGGCCCACAAGATAGTGTCACGTAGGCAAAAAAGGGTTAGAAAATTATTAATTAAATACGTTCAGGGGGATAATAGGGCCTAAGTATACTATAAGTGTGTCTCTGAAATTTCAGACGTAGGTTGAGGAGTTGGTTGTGTATTATCTCTTTATATTTTTCTCATATTAACAGTACTAAAATATATTATTGTATTAAAAAAATTTAAGTTATAAATTTAACACGTGCATTGAAACATGCCTATAATATGTATCATATATTGAATTCAAATGTATTACAATTATTATTATTTTTTCTCCTATTAATGGCGCGTGCTAAAAAATATATTTTTGTATTAAAAATATTTTAGTTATATATTTGCAGTGTGCATTGAAAAATAAAAATAATATGTATAATGTATTGAACTCAAAATGTATTATAAGTATAATTTAAATTTATTTATTTTATTAATGATGTCCACATATTTTTGAAAATAAAATGTTAATATTTCAAACATCCTTAAGCATTAAAATAGTTGAAATTTAAAAAGAGAGAGAGAGAGAAAATGGTTGAAGAAATGACAAGAATGAAAGAGAAATAAAATGACAGAAGAAAAAAGAAAGAGATGTTATAAAATATTACTTAGCAAACTTAAAATTAACACACTTAAAGAAGAACAACGGAGAAAGTAACGTCTTTTCATCTATATTTGTTACATTTGTAAATGTAGTAGCTATGAATAGTAGTAAGCTAAACTAGAAATCTGCAACTTATCCACTAATTGCCAAGTGTTGATAGTTCTCTTAAAGTTGATTTCCACGTGGCGTGCATATTTGGATTGCACCATAACAAGTGATGAAAGTCACTTATTTGGTGGAACTTATCCACTAATTTCCAAGTGTTGATAGTTCTCTATAAGTTGGTTTCCACATGGCATGCATATTTGCCTTGCACCATAACAAGTGATGAATGTCACTTATTTGGTGGAATCCACGTGGTAATGGTCATCGTTTACAACACTCCCTCTTGGATGTCATGTAAATGAAAAGTTGAAAATAAATATACATAAATATTCGTAATACGCTTTACTTAATGCTTCATTTAAAACTTATCTAAGAAAATCCAGTGAGACGAAATCTAGACTAAGAAAAAAAGAGTGTAACACGTATTTTACTCCCCCTAATAAAGATCATGATTCAAATATTACTTAAATTTTTGCATTCTTATCTTCTGCACCATCTTCTCAAGATCTGAGGCTAGTAAAGATTTGATGAATAAATTTGTTGGATTATCACTTGAACGATTTTTTTGTATATCAAAATCATCATTTTTCTGGAGATCATGTGTAAAGAATAATTTCGGTGAAATATGCTTCGTTCTATGTCCATTTATGAAGCATCCTCTTAATTGAGTTATGCATACAACATTGTCTTCAAAAAGCACTGTGGGTATCCACTTCAAACCACATCTTTCTTTGATGAAATGTATCACTAATCTCAATCATGCACATTCTTTACTTGTTTCATGAACGATTATTATCTCAGCATGATTTGAAGAAATAGCGACAATGGAATGCTTCATAGATCGTCATTATATAGCAGTACCTCCGTATGTTAACAAATAGCTTGTCCATGAACGAGCTTTATGTGGTCAGATAAATAACATGCATCCACATGACCAACAAGATCCACACTATCTTTGTTAGTATAAAATAGACCTATATTATTAGTCTTTTTAGATATTGCTATATATGTTTAACTCCATTCTAATGTCTTCGTGTAGGGGAAGAACTATACCTTAGTAATAAATTAACAGAAAATTCTATGTCAGTTCTCGTAGCATTAGCAAGATACATAAGTGTATCAATTTCACTAAGATAAGGTACTTCAGGATCAAGAGGTTCCTCATTCTCTTCTTGAGGTCGAAATGGATCTTTACTCGCTTCAAATGATCGTACAACCATTGGAGTACTTAAAGGATGTGTTTTGTCCATGTAAAAATCATTTCAAGATTTTCTCAGTATACGCAGATTGATGGATGAAGACTTTGTCTGCTAAATGTTTAATTTGTAGACCAAGACAAAGTTGTCTTTCCAAGATCTTTCATCTCAAATTGATTCTTTAGATATTCAATTGGTTTTTGAACCTCTTCTGGAGTTTCAATGAGATCAATTTCATCAACATAAACTGCAAGAATAACAAACTCTGACGTTGTTTTCTTAATAAAAATGCAAGGACAAATGACATCATTCATATAATCTTGTTTTATCAAGTACTCACTGAGATTATTATACCACATGTGTCCTGATTGTTTTAAGTCGTATAATGACTTTTGTAATCTGATTGAACACATTTCCTGAGGTTATGAACTATATGCTTCACTCATTTTAAGTCCTTCTGAAATTTTTAATTAACTTAATTATCAAGCGTACCTTAAAGATAAGATGTGACTATATCCATTAGATGTATTTCAAAATTTTCATGAACAACTAAACTGATGAGATATCGAAAAGTTATTGCATCCATAACTGGTGAATATCTTTCTTCATGGTCGACACCGGGTCGTTGAGAGAATTGTTGCGCAATAAGGTGTGCCTTGTATCTTACAATTTCATTTCACTTTCGCACAAAAATTTCATTTATAGCCAAACGATATTACAACATTTGGGATTTGGACTACAGGTCCAAAAACCTCAGGTTTAGTAAGTGAGTTCAATTCTAATTGAATTGCCTCTTGCCATTTTGGTCAATCACATCTTCGTCGACATTCTTCGACAGATAAGAGTTCAAGATCCTCATTGTCTTGCATAATGTAAAGTGCGACATTATATGCAGAAACATTATCAACTATGATTTTAAATCGATCTAATCTTATCCTATCACCTTTATAACTTATTAAAAGTTCTTCATTCACTTGAATCTTGAGTTCACTAATCTCTTCTGGAATATCAGGATTAATCTAATCATGAATCTCTTCGTGAGATTCTTTTGTAGTGTCCTTTTTCATACTTCTTTTTCTAGGATTTTTATCCTTTAAAGGAAATGGTTTGCCACCCTTCAGGCGTGTTTCTGTTTCAGACACCATGATACTTGTTGATGGTCCTTTTGGGATGTCTATACGGATAGGCACATTTACTGCGGGAATATGTGACTTTGTAATCCTTTTCAAATCAGTGAATGCATATGAAATTTGATTTGCTATGTTTTGCAAATGGATGATCTTCCGGAACTCTTGTTCACACATGGGAAACGTGGGTCAAAATAAGATAATGATGAAACTTTCCACGCAATTTCACTTTTAAGTTCCTTTTTCTCTCCATCTAATTGCGAAAAATTTGTTTCATTAAATCGAAAATCTGCAAATCTTGCAGTAAATACATCTCTCGTCATTGGCTCAAGGTAGATAATTACGGAAGGTGAATCAAACCCAATATATATGCCTAACTTTCTTTGGGGGCCCATCTAAGTGCGTTGCGGTGTTGAACTGCACATATACAACATCCAAAAATTCATAGATCTGCAATATTTAGTTCATGATCAAATACTAATTGTGACGAAGAGTATTTATTATAATGAGTCGATCTGAGATGAACAAGTGATGTTGCATGTAAGATAGCATGGCCCCAAACAGTAGGGATTAACTTACCTTTGATAAGTAGAGGTTTTGCTATCAATTGTAAGAATTTAATAAATGACTTAGCAAGGCCATTTGAGTATGAACATGAGATACAAGATGTTCAACTTTTATTTCTATTGATAAGCAATAATCATTAAAAGCTTGGGATGTGAATTCTCCAGCATTATCAAGGCAAATTTTCTTAATGGGATAATTTGAAAATTGTGTTTTTTATCGTATTATTTGTGCCAATAATTTGCAAACGCCAGGTTGCGAGATGATAAGAGGCACACATGAGACTATCTTGAAGATGAATCAATTAAGACCATAAAATATTTAAACAACCCACTAGATGGGTGAATAGATTCACATATATCTCCATGTATACGTTTAAAAAATTGAGGGAATTTAATGTTAACCTTAATTGGTGATGACCTATAAATTTGCCTTGATAACAAGCAACACATGAAAATTCGTCACACGTAAGAATCTTCAGGTTCTTTAAAGAATGTCCATTTGAGTTTTTAATAAATCGTCTCATCATTATGCTCAGTCATGCCAAAGCACAATAATTTTCAGTTAGTAAACCTCTGGTTTATGATAGAATGTGCTTCAAATGTACTTATTTTTGCATAACATAAGCCAGAAGATAAACTTGTATAATTTCTCCAAAATATATTTTTGATTTGAGACAATCTTGATAATACCAAGGTACTCAACATTCATTTTATTGATCCTCTAACATGATATCCATTTTGGCGAATATCTTTAATATTTAACAGGTTTCTTGGGGATTTAGAAGAGAACAATGCATCTATTATAACACGTTTTGTCCCCTTAGGCAGAGGAAGATAGTAGTTTTTTCTGAGCCTTTTATTAAGTTTGAATTACCAGAAATTGTAGTAATATTTCCTTTTTT